CCCAGGTTCGATTCCGTTCAAGGGCACTACCTTGGTTGCAGGCACATACCCAGTGGGGGGTGTGTGGGAGGCAGCTGATCGATGTTTCCCTCTCATCGATGTTTCTAACTCTCTATCCCTCTCCCTTCCTCTCTGTGAAAAAAATCAATAAAATATATTTTAACAACAACAACAAAAAAAGAATAGGCAGAACATGGCAAACATTTCCCCACACATGAACATTCTTTAATGACTCTCCTACCTTTGTCACTTAGAAAGGCAGAGGGTATCTGTTCTTTGAATTTGTAGTAAGTAAAAAGTTTTTATTCTACATAAGCTTGCCAATTACAATTTTGAGAGTTTATAAACATTACATTATTATTGTGTTACAAACATTTGGTTTCATTCCTCCAATGAAGTGGTTATATACAGAACACCTGATTAATCACACTAAGTGCTAAAGGGCAAACAGCTCAGAAATATTTAAAATGCTGGGTAGGAAAGACATTTATTCCAACAGACGTGCATAGAGCTTTCTTTAAAAGAAGTGTTATCATGTTAAATCCACTTAGCTTATCTGATCAAATGTTTCAAGGTCAACATGTTAGAAGGGACTAGAGTTTCTGGCCACAAAGAAAAATCGTCAGAGCTCTAATCTCAAAGAAAGATTGCAAAGTTTCAATTTTTAAAAGTGACATATGGCAAGAAAATTTACACTGACCTAGTACAAAAATGTAAAACAAAACACAAATCTTTTCAACTCCCCGAATCGTCAGTAGCTAAAGCTATTTACAATTCTGGCTAAATTGCCGAAGACTATGACTGATAAACCTCCCAGAAAGAAACAATGACATTTAATTGTGTCCTGTTCTTCTTTTTGAGTCACCGTGCACGGAAGGGCCTTCAGTAAATATCAGTTTTGCATAGTAGTTCAGAGACTGAGCTGTAGAGTCAGACGGCCCTGGATTTAAAACCTAATTCTGTCACTCACTATAAGTGACTTTGGACACACGAAACTTAAAGTCGGTCCATGTGCCTCTTTCCATATCTGCAAAATCAGGATCCTCATACCGACTTCAGAGGTTGCTATGAGCCTTAGGTGAGATGCATGTATTTACTCACAATGGAATATTATACAATTGTCAAATTAAGTGAATAATAGTCAAATTAAGTGAATAATCTCTCTCCTTTCCTCTCTGATTACTTGGGGACATAAATAAATATTGGCATTACAATATTAAAATAAAAAGGAAATCCTAAAAGTAACACAGCATGATATCTTTTAATAAAGTCAAAAACAACTAAAATTAAAATATCATTTCCTGTCAAAGGAAAGCAAGTGAAATCATATGGGTCCAGGAACGTGATTACCTTAGGTGAGAAGAGCAGAGGATGGACTTGGATTGGGAAACCATACGGTGAGGCGTCCCTTACAGCCATAGGCAGTTAGACAGACATGAGCAGAGCAAGGACCATGGGCCAGGTTCAGGTCAGCAGGGCAGAAAGCCCTGTGTGCCTAGTAAGGGGCAAAACTGGGAAAACAAGAACCTTGTCCCTAGTGCAGTGATGGCGAACCTTTTGAGCTCGGCGTGGCAGCATTTTGAAAACCCTAACTTAACTCTGGTGCCGTGTCACATGTAGAAATTTTTTGATATTTGCAACCATAGTAAAACAAAGACTTATATTTTTGATATTTATTTTATATATTTAAATGCCATTTAACACAGAAAAATCAACCAAAACAATGAGTTCTCATGTCACCTCTGACACGCGTGTCATAGGTTCGCCATCACTGCCCTAGTGGGACTTTTCCTATCCTAGCATATCTCTGGTCATGAGGTGCAGACACCCTGACCTTTTCCTCCCTAGAGATAACATCAAAGCCTCATTTGTATTTCAGCTCCAGGCCCAGAAAAGCAGCAAAACCAGACAAGTGACACCTTGGCTGCCTCAGGAACAGCTGCATTAACTAATGACTTCCTGCTCTAGAGCCGACCAATCAGTGGAGACCATGGCCCTGAAAGAGCACAGCTGGAAAGCTGATGACTATCCCATTGAGACCTCTCCTGAGACCTCCCTAAGATTCTCACCTGCAAGAGAGAGATAAATACCCTCAACACCAAGGACCCAGCTCGATTTCTCTCCCAGGGGAGCACACTCCTGCCATTCCCTTCCTCTTCTTCTTCCCCCACAGACACTATATCCCCTAAGCTCTAAGGGACCCCAGGAGACTTGCACCCAGGGGAGCAGTGGGCAGTGGCAGCTCCTCCTGAGCTAACCCCCTGAGCCTGTCTCCACGGCCCCTGTTCTCTGACTTCTCAGTGAGCGAAAGCAGCCCCACCTAGGCTCTCCTGTTGCTTTTTCTAAACCCTTGCTTGTTTCACTGTCCTGAGTGTGGTTTTGCTGCAGCCAATAAATTCTTGCTTCCTTTGCTGCCCTTTGCCTCTTGACTGAAATCTTTCCTTCAAGGAGATAAGTACCCAGGACTTAGCATCTTGCCAGTAACCTTACCATCATGGTCTTACCTTTTGTTTGGGGTAGGAAAGTCTCTGAATTTATTATATTATTTTTTAAATAGATAAATAAATAAGAGTGGGGTATAAGAGCAGTTAGTTTAATAAATAGTGACACTAGCAACATAAAAATGCTCTAAGGAAAAATATTTTTGAAGAAAAGAAGTAAAATAGCAAAAAGCATGTGATAGTCTCTGGTACTTTTGAAATTAAAATTCTATGATTATTTTCAGGCACTAAGAAGCACATGGTTAATAATGAATTAGGTGTAGTGAATATTCCCCTTATGGTTAGAAAGTGTTAGCAAATCATTAGGACTCCTAGGAGCTATCTAATGATCTGGAAGTCTAGCATGGCTTCCCTCTGTCTCTCTTTCCATCTTTTAAATGCTTTCACATTTCTTACTAGGACCTAGCCGAGAATGATGTCGATGACACTATACAAAGCTAAAGCATAAAGCTAATGTTCTTTGGAAGCATCAGCTAAATTAATGCAGAACTGCTTATGTTTTCATCTATATATATAAAAGCCCAGTGACCGAACAGCGGAATGACTGGAATGACTGGTTGACCAGTCGCTATGATGCGCACTGACCCTCAGGGGGCAGATGCTCAAAGCAGGAGCTTTCCCCTGGTGGTCAGTGTGCCCCCCACAGTGGGAGCGCTGCTTGGCTGACCAGGATAAGCAGCTGCTGCAGGAGCAGTCACTCAGAGGGCGGGTCCACAGCTTTTTTGTTGACCATCCATGCCTCCCACCAGTGCACAGATCCATGCACCAGACCTCTACTTTATAAAAATAGCAAATTTAAAAAAAAAAAAAAAAAAGTTGATTTCAACTATCAATGTATGAGATATGTGGGTAGAAAGGTAGATATAGAAATATCTATAATAACAAATGTCCTGTTACTGTTTCTAATTATTATGTGACATTTTTGAGCTTATGTTAAGATATTTTGACCCCTTGCAAATGCACCATTACAAAAGTAGAATTAATAGTTTACATATGTAAACTCATTATCCTGTGAGATAAATACTAGCAGCATCCCATTTTATAGATGAAGAAACTGATGCACCAAGCGATCATACAAGAAACATGGCCAAGATTACACAACTGGCTGTGGCCATTAACCAGTTCACTAAAGCTACAATATAGATACCATACAGAAAATAATGTTATTTCACAACATCCTGCCTACTAATGACCAGGATGCTTTATAAGGTACATGTTAAGTTCAAACAACACAGAGGGAAATAGCTGAAGATTCCACCTCCCTGTAACAGGAGTTAGTTAGGGTGAGACAAGTAGAGATGAAATAACAAATCATCTGGATATTGGATTTTAGACAGTAAAACCCATCTGACTTGGCAAGAGGCTTTCTTTTAACTGCCAGTTTGGTCTTGCCAATTCAATGGCGGAAGAGGAGGTTTTCAACCAAAATAAGCTATAGGTGTGTACTACAGGCAGTTTGGTGGGAAGCACTGCGGTCTCACCTTTGAGGGTGCTTTCTCTTGGACTATGCTGGTGAGCAAGGTGGCCCTGCCTGTCTGGCAGAGGGAAGGTGAGCCAATGCGACTATGACTAAATTCCTTAATAGATTGCTGGAAGACTGCAGGGCACAGAGTGTGAAATGAATAAAATCTGGTCCTGGAAGGCCTTGTGAAGAAACAGTTGCTTGGCCCCAAGAGATTCTTTCTTAGTTTTCCCCTTCCTCCTCTTTAAGAACTTCCATGTCACAAGGTTTCTTGCTACCGAACTCATATTCTACAATCCCAAAGCTTCAGGCTCACACCACCAAGAGCCCAGGTAATGACTGCCTTAGGAGAGGGTTCAAGCAGTCCAGGCCAGCATGGGCAGCAAGGGAAAACATCTGAATTTTAAACTGTTTTTGAAAAATTATTGTGTAGACCACGGAAACAAACAGGGGGACATGCTCTTCTTCATGAACATGCATCCAGTGCACACACACACAGCTGCATTACTAGGGTTGGCATTTGTCCACGATGGAATATGCCTATCAAGTAGGAACCTCTTTTACTTGATTTCTTCCCTCCATGAGTAGTTGATGCTTTCATATGTAAAAAGTAAGTTTCCTTTTCTTAGCATTAATGGTCATCAGTTAAATCATATGCTTTTATCGTATCAATGAACAGCAGTATTTTAGCCACATTATTTATAGAACATTTAGGTCTGCCTTTCAAAATTATCATGTTTAGTGTTTGCCGGTCTGCTTTTAATTTATCAAAGCCGCCCCTCCACAAGCACTGCACAAAACACACCAGCAGCAGTAGAGCTCCCCCCATCCAATGAGTATTTGATACGCTTAACGTTCATCTTTATACACACAGGCGCTGGCATATAAGAAATGTGGAGGGTGTCTATAAATTCAAGGAAACATTTAAGTGCACAGTGATACATAGATACATGGGTATAATACTTTATGTACTTGATAAATATTTCATCCCTACCATAAAGAAAGCTTTTTATCAACTCTGATTGTTTTTTTATTACCTGAAAGTATTGCAGTTGTTTCTCAGCACTCATTGTTCCTTCCTTTTCTTGTCTCAGACAGGAATTGAAGATGAAAAGCTCTGTATCTCTCAGCCACCCTTTCAGCTCTTTGATCCTGACCTCCAGCTGCCTTACCAGGCTTCCGCTTTCAGGAGAGAGCAGGTCACGTGGCCCCGACCCTCGGGGCCCTGCCATTGTGTCCTGGATCTTCTCTCCCAGGGTTTTCTAATGCATCAAATTATAAACAAACACAAAAATAAAAAACACCAACAAAAGTAAAAACACAGATTAGCTTGGGTACCAAAACCGTATCACAGTTTGGCTGGTGACACAACCCCCTGGAGAGTGTCCGGCCACACCTGCCATCTCACCACTAACATTCATTCAGATTAGCTCACTGTTCCATTTAGGATTTGAATTCTTGCGGAATGTGTGTTGTTCTGACTACCACTAGTGGCTTAGGAAGACCTCATTCATTTATAGTTTCCTTTAACAGAAAGGAGATTTGACCCAAAAGTTCACCATGGTCACTGATAAAAATTCATTTGAATCCTCATAATGCAAGTTTGTAGTAAAAAATTCTCTGCATAAAATTTTCAGGAGATAGAAGTCTGAGTTTAATCAGTGTACTAAAGAGGCCAAGAGAGGATTGTGCATGAAGAATTAAATTCCTTTTTTTGGTTTTGTTTAGTACAATTCACCAGACCATATGATGGAGGGCTGTTAAGAAGGGGTAGACTCCTTGGTGCTGTTGTTCATTTTAGCTGACTTGGAAATTGTACAGCCCCACAATTTTCCCCACTTTGCATTTGTGGGTGCTAGACTTTCCAATATATGTATTAAAATCAGTCCCAATCCACGATGCTAGTGCCTTCTTCGATTAACGACTCTGTCATGAAGGTGGAGTCAGGGAGGGCTTTTTCGTGTTGTTTTTGTGGAAAATACTCTCTTTGGAGAATCAGTAGGAGTTAATCTATATTGACAAATTAAACCTAAAAAATAACCTTTAAAACACAAATAAAATTAAGTCAGCAAACATTCAACTGCTGTGTAGTGTTCTGTAAATAGCATCTTTAGGAGATCATAACAGAAAAATAACCTTTCTTGCCAACACGCTTATATTTTCATGGTGCAAATATTGATAATTTGAAGACCCTCAGTAGAATCCAGATTTAGCTATTGTTTTTATGCTGTAACAAAAGTAGCAGCAGGAGGTGAAATCAATGCCCTTGGAGGGTAGGGTCACAAAAAAGAATTTATTGCCACTTTTTTGTTCTGGAACAGTTTGCAATCATAAATTCTTCATAAACAGAATACTTCAGAGAATGGTCCGTCTTCATAAATATACGACAGAGGACATCAATTTCATTTAATTCACAATTTGTGTCAGCACAGCAGATGCCAATGCCTGCCTTGATAGGGTTGTTTAATATGCAATTGAGACAGAGTAATATGCAGCACAGGGGACAAAATTTCACAGATTAAACTGTACGCACCACTGACATTTCATTCTAATGTATTTCCATTCCACACTGTTCACCTTAGATGAAAGTAATATTAAAAACCATATCCCTCTATTTTACTATTGTTAGAAGTTAAAATCCTTGTCTTTAAATTTTTTTTCATGCCAATTAAAATGTAATCATGCCAATTAGAGTGGCAGGCCTGGTGGTGTTAGTGTGGCACAGGTTTTATTCAAACCTTCCCTCCACCCTTCTTGCTCCCTAAATCATTACACAACTCTGCATATTGTATTCAAATGGTGTTATTGTCAAAATGGCAACCATTTTTAAGGTCTCTGACTCATAAAGAATAACTAAATATTCTGTTTTCAATGTTATGTTGATTTAAATTTTTGTCGAGAAAGCAATATACATGACATACTTTAAACAATTTTCAAAGAAAGATTATTGTTAGTTATTGATCAAATTAGAAAAAGATATAGTTCTATTTCTATATAACCAAACTATTTCTTTATCTACCAGGCACCTAAAGTTGCTGTCCTTATTTAGGAAACAATGTTTTAAAATGTCCCATATTTCTCCTGTAGGAGATCAAGGAATTCTGTAGAATTTAGAAGGTTCTGATTTAAATCACCATATGACAATGTGAAAGCCATTAATTACTATTAAAAAGTAATGTAACAATAGGTCAGAGTAAAAACTTTTAACATTTTAAGTTACTTTGCACACTCACAGAGTGTAGTGAATTTAGATGAGAAAGCGGGGATTAAACTCTCAGCTTTTTAATCACCTAGATTAAGCTCAGCAGAAACTGGGCGTTGGCACTCCTCCAAGTCATCAAGGCACACGGAGAGCTTTTAATTCAAAATATTTTTGGAGCATTATTTCTTTAAAAATTAAAAAAAAAGACAGGAAATGGAAGGCATGCAAAATTAGGCTCTATAACTGACACCACCCATACTTAGCTATTATAATTAATCATTTAAGTAATTGACAAATTTAGCTTACCCTTGATTTGAAGTGAAGGCAATTTAGGAGAGAAGTTGATGAAAAAATACTGTTTAACCTCTCTCTCTCAGCTGTCTTCCACAAAAGGACAGCACTGCCTCCTGCACAGCCATCCTGGCCTCTGGCTAACGGAGCCTCTATATTGCCTTTTTGCCAGATTCTTGCATCTCAGTCTTTGGCTGAGACCCAGCCCATCATTGCGTGAAATGAATTACATGAAACTTTTTTTTTGGCTTTTGTTAAAAGGGAGCTGGAAATTGAGGCACAAAACAGAGACCAATTTAATTCTGCAATTCAGATCTGGGTCAAATTTGCATCTTTGTTTTAGTGGCTTTCGCATGACTTGAAGGTTGTAGTGACAACTGCACTTTCCACCGGAAGGGTCCAGGAAAGAGTTAAACAGTGATGTCTCTAACATGTACCTTCAGAATAAATTCTATTAACGTGCATTCAAGCATGACAGGCAGTGTATATCAGATATACTGTATTATCGTTGACTTGGTGCATACCCATAATACATGGCATATTTTACTTACTTCTTTATGTATTAAAGAACCAAAATTATTAAAATCTGAGGAGACAAGCTGAGAGTAAAAAAAAAAAAAAAAATCAACAGAAGAGGAAAAGCAGTGTTTTTCAGCCATAATAGCATGATAGCTTGTTTGAAATGTAGGTAGTGAATTGAAAGAGAGAGATATTTGTGCCTCAAATTAGAAATCAGACAGATAGAGTACTTTACTACACAAAAAATGTACACATAGCCTACAAACAGTAATAAAAATGCAAATACCCCAAGCAGTTCCCATTTTTCATTAATTGAATCCACTTTTTCAAGGAGATCATTTGGTAGTAAAACGCCACCTTTCTTCAAAGCTTCCACCTTACTCAGCAGCTCTGTCTTTTTCAGGCCCCGGATGGACATTTCCACGCTGTATCGCTACAACAAGAAGAGAGAGGGTCTTAGATAGTCTGAGCACAGCACTAGCGATGCTCATGGGGGTTAAAAGTTTTTGTTTCCAAGAATATTTGTGAGGAGACTACACCTAAATAGCTTGAGCAGTGGAGGAACATTGCTGAAGATAGTTACAAATATATATATTACGCACACATACACGGACATCCAAGTTATTCATTCCATGTAGCTGACTAAGATTTATGTCTTTTTAAACTAAAGTTCACACACACATTTGATCCCCAATTTAAAATATTCTGAATAGGAAAATACATGGTCTAAGTAAGGGGAGCTAATATTCAGTTAATTTTGGTCAACATTTGGCTCCAGAGTGCTGCCCATCTGCCATCTCTGCCCCCAAAGGTACAAATAAAATGATCCCTCAAGATTGTGTGACGTCCTCCTTATCCTATAAGTTCTCTGAATTCGCAGTTAAGATTTTTGTTTTCATTTTTCTTTTACTTAAAAACTCTGTGTGGGCTTGGAAATGGGGTACATCTAGAGAGGAAAAAGAAAACCAGTGATTTAAGAATGGTCACAAATCGATGCTTCCTTATTGGATACTGGAAAATGTTCTCAGACATCCCAATTGACTACAGAACACTCTCCCCCAACATACCTTGTAGTCCACCACACTGCCAAGGGAGTCTCTCCTAAAAGATGTTTGCTACAGATAACGTAGGTGCTACTTAATATGACAGTTACCATGGTGATTCTCTTCAAATAACTACTTGGATAACTTCATAGTGAGAAAGTCCTATATGATGAACAGCTATAAATGACTATGGCTGTAGTTGTTAAATATATACATAAAGACATCTCTAAGAGGAAAAACTAAATTATGGTTAAAATATTAAACAAATTCCACAATTTTAGCACATTTCAAAAATATAATGGTAATCCCAAAATTTATTTCATTGAGGCATAAAGTCAGGCCACTGACAGTGTTGCTCCATTGCCCTGACTGAGCTGAGATGAGGCTTTATCAGATCTAATAAGAAAAGCATTTGTCTGAGCAAAGTAGCAAATCAGCAAGTTCAAAACTTGCCCAAGCAGTTGGTTGATTTTATTTACCTTGAAAACATGATATTGTGTCAGATCCCAAATTAAATACAATTGGAAACGGCTTAAAGAAAAAGAAGGTGTGAAATCCTTGTTTCGGTTAATAGATCCTCAGCATTTGCATGCGAATGTTTGCATATTTTCTGGTTCATATTTTAATCTTTCATTTGCACTAAGCATGCACGTTATTTGTATTATGTAAACTTCTCCAAATGTTAGTCATTTGTGGTGCACAGAACAAAATATTTTAAATAATGTGATTGGAAGCATTTCATAGTATTAACGAATGTTGATCAGGGTGTCAGAGTATCCAAAATTACATGAATATGCATGATGAAAAAAATTAAGGTTTGCTTTAGAGCGCTTTCATCATTTGGCCTGTGATACCTGGGAAATTCTGATTGTGCTTTCTAACAGCAGACAATTACCAGGAGCACGTTACTTCAACACTTAGAAAAACCAATGTCCACTCGAGCATGCTGGACCCAACACTGAACAAGTATTCTAGAAAGCTACATAGTGTTTTATTTGTTAGAGCAACGATTGGAGGAGAGGGCAATCTGCTTTCTGTAGTCAGATACCCATCCAAAGATGATGCTGCTAACAAAGATTTACATAATAATACGGGGAACCAGCATTCCAGGCAGGCAGAAGAATCCTATTCAGATCTTTAGCTTATGCCACGTGCACTAACTGGCAGAGGGAGTGCTCCAGCTGTGTCTCCCGGGAGTGGCCTGGACTAGTTATCACATTCACCTATGACAAGCTCACCCCCCAGCTTTACCCCAACTTGGAACAGCTCCTACACAGCAGATCAATCAAGAAAGAAAACAGTTTAGATGTGTCCCATAAACATGACAGTCTTGTAATAATAAAACTACAAAAAGCAATTAATTTCATTTTAGACATAAAATAATTTTCTCTGTGAAATGTAGTACAAGTAGTCACTGCAACAGCTATTATAGAAGGTTATTACATTTAAAAAACAAACAAGTGTCTTATGTATGCTCTCTGTCTTTGTCACCATGTAACCTACTGTATAAACAGCCTGATGAAAGATGTGATTGATGGACAAAGCCTTCAAACTATAAAAGCTAGGGGAATCCAGCTAATTGTTAGGTGTATGGATAAATGGGCATGAAAGGTACTAGAATGTCCTGTAATTTAAGGTGAAAATGCTTACTATCTGAAGCACCCTGAAAGCTGAATCAGATATGATTTAGGGCCTTAAGCTGTATATGTAATGATGCCAGAGGGGTTACATTTGTGTTGATGTTGGTATGGCTTTGCTCTTCTCTCTCCTCTCTTCAGAAGCATTAGACAGGGAGAATCAACCGCCAGCTCTCTCAGTTTTTGGTCATCCTATCAAGTAGGGCTACTTTCTCCTGTGGTGAGAAGATCATTTAATCTTCATATTCATTTCACCCACAGCAGTAAGTGAGTCAAGGCTGCCCCACTGTGTCCTGTAGTCTGTGGATGCTGTGATCTAGACTACTCTTCAATAGCCAAAAATGAGCAGCAAAGTTAAAGTTAGATGGCTTTTCTTGAGTACTAAGGTAAATAAGCAGCCAGTATTTAATTTCCCCACAGCACCTGTGCTGGGCTTCTCTGTCTAGTCAAAAATAAAATATACTCTATTGAAAGGGCATATTTACATTATTAAGTGTATTTGCTTGGCCAATTTAATTTTGACTGCCGAAGCCTCCTAATAGATATGTGAATGATCTAAATTAAAGACACAGGCCACTCCCATTCCCAATGCCACTTCTGTGTGTATACAGGATATATAAAGAAAACTTTAAAAAACAGTTCCAAATAACCACAAACACTAGACTGCTGTTTTAACTAAGTATTAAAGAAGTTTTTAGAAAATTTGTACTCCGTACTTACTTTTTAAAAGCACAAATGCCAAAATTAAATTATAAAACAAAGCCAGCAAAAATGGGGATTTCTGAAGTAAATATAATTAGAAATGCATGAAGACTTGATTGAGATAACTTTTTTGACAGTTCTGCTAAAGGCTTTTTCCCTCTTAAAACCCCTTTTTTTTTTTTTTTTTTTTTTTTTTGTTAAAAATCACATCGCAAATTCTGCCCAAATGGAGACTGGAACAATGCCTTGAAACAGTGTTAATTGTCACCATGGAAACCAGAAGAATAAGCCATTTTGAAACTGGTATAGAAGGCACACATTGAGCAACTCAAGCATTTTCCTGCCTCCCTCAATGTTAAAGAACAAGATGCCTTGTCACAGTGAGGTCAGAGAAAGAAAGCATCATGAAAGGGTTATAGATGCTCACTGTCTAGTAAATAAAAAAATAAAAAATAAACTGCATCCAGCTAATGCTGTAAGATGCTACCCAGTGAATCTTTTTGAAATAGAAAGATCATCAAAAGATGGCCAAGATTGGGGGATAGATTCCACCTAAGCAAAACTTCAGGGCTATATTATGTGAACCTTGCCCCCAAAGCTCCCTGGGAATTCTACTGTTGTAATAAAACTTCAGAAGAGGAAAGAAAAAAGGCAGCATGATGGAATTCAAAATAATGCTCTAAAAGCACACAGAGAGATTAAGACATCCATTGTAAGACTTTTGTATGGTGCTTCTGTTGGTTATGCTGAAAAGAGACCAGACATTGCTGAGTGGAGAGTGAAGTTTTGGCTACAAGAAATACAAGAATTAAACCAAAGAATTTTCTCCATTATTAGAACAGGGCTGTCAGATTCGGTGTCTTCCGGATTTGAGTATTTACATCTTATAGTATATTTTAACTGGGCTTTATGTGAGTTTATATCAGGAAGCGTTAAAGCAAAGAAAGTGATCTAGTTACTACAGTGACAGATATAATAATATACTTGAATATCTTGCCCAGTACAAAATAATACCACAAACACCTATATATTCAACGTAATCCCATAAGCACACAATGGATAGATAGATAGGCAGACAGACAGAGAAAATACACTGAGAAAACAAAATGTATTTTGGCCTATCAACTAGAAAGCATATGCTAGGAACACACCAAAACACCAAACTACTGGCAAAATTATGCGTCAAAAAATATGCATTTTTGCACAAAATGCAGGGATGTCTCTGTCTATGACTCTGATATTGTGTTTTCTGGCTAGTGTTTGCCCTCCTCATGTGAGGCTTCATGGTGGCCCCTCAGCAAGTCCATGCCTAATGCCATTCAGTGGTGAACAAAGAGTCTTTTTATATGAAAGTCCAGACCCACAGCTCAGCTGTAATGCCGAGTGCGGGATCTGCTTTGCAGCAGAGCACAGTCCTGCGCTTACCCTGCAAGTGCTGCTTCGCGGGAGCTCACCTCCCCAACACTTCGGGAAGGTGTTCAAGCCTGAAGAAGAGGGTTCAAGCCCAAGACAAATAATTGTCCTTATTTCTTACAAACTCCTTGTGTTTCACCATTAGCGATTTAGGGCGAATAATTGCAGAGAGAAATTATAGAGACTCCTACAGTTGTCCTTGTAAATTAATAATAGGCTTTCTTGATTGGGATAAATTTGCTGCTGAGCCTTTGGAAAAATTAAAAAGTGCAATGTCATTTAAAATTGCCAGAACTCGCACAGCAAATTACATCTGAGGTTAAGAATTGAGTTTTCCCCCCTCTTCTAGCTTATTCCATTTGCATGATCTGGAAATCACATTACATTGGCCATGTATTGTTAATTGGACATAGATTGCATTATCTTTAATATAAATCAAACTACAAATATTAAAATGAATTGCAAATTCCCTAATAGAAGATCATAAAACAATCTTTCTAAAAGTATCTCCCATTAATAATTTAATTCCAATTATATCACTCAGAAAACTTAAGTAGGAAACCTGGCAACTTATTTCTCCAATCATTTATTTTACATAACAAATACCCAACGCTTTTAAAATAAATACCCAGCACAGA